TTAAGTATTGTTATTGTTACTATATATTATTAGCAATTATTATTACACAATTAAGCAACATATGAAAAACACAACGAATAAAATGATAAAAATTTGTTCTACATATAGAAAGTTAAACATAAGTTTTTATATCCAGTATATCAAGTGGGTTTTCATTATTCTAATGAATATCATTGTCAAGGATTATGTTTGTTAGATACACAAACGATACTCCTTTCATGGACAAGGCATCATGCGTGTAACACGATATTAATCTGAAATATGAAACTAATATTTCACACTACTTGAACTCATATGTATGCATACGTGTATATGAAGAATTTCGTCTTTCTCTGTACTTTTATTTGTTTGATTTACAGTACAATAATAGAGAACAGGAAGACTTAAAATAATATAAGCTGAATTATTGTACTTTTTTATTAGCTTAATTCTTATCTATTTGGAATTTAGAGTATACCACACCTAGATCGAAAACGAGATAATACAATAACGTTTGGTTTCAGATCGTTTTGTTACTCTCGAGTTATTTATTACTTAATCGAGCCCACTATGCTGAAATAAATCATCACGAGCGTTTATGCTGTACTTGAAGAGTCGTTATGGATTTATTATCTATCTCTCTACAATGTTTCTGTTGAACGTTTTATGTTAGGATTTTCACGATGTGCCGTTACCAGATACGCGTCGTAAAGAAATCAGAAGTCATATGCATAAACATCTATCACCTCAAAATACCATAACGCATTCAATTAATTGTATATACCAAATCAATTACAAATCTATGAAAAGATATCGAGCAATATTTTTATGTTATTTTACGTTAGAAATGATTCGTTATTATGTTTCCAAATGATCAATAACCGGAGACTGATATCACTGGCGCTGCCCTAATTGCTCTCTAATTCGCAGTGAAATTATGATCCATGGATCAGTGAGCCACTCTATTGCATACATTCTAGTTATCCGGCAATCAGGTAGCCTGTTCTAATTCGATCAAATTCAAAGTCTGCGTGACCGGATTTCGTTCAATACTATAGTCTCGATATACTACACTGACCCGATGCGTCGATGTCATACCCGTGTCGATAGGTAATTAGCGAATTCTTAGTAGTGCCGGTCTAATTTTCCGGCGAGCAAATTATCGAGTGGCACGTAGATAGAATTAGCTGCGTCGGCCTGGCTGATATTGCTAAATTGCTGCATTCCTACAAGACGTCCGGAGTGCATCTCCCTCGTTATATCATCATCGTTCATCAGCCTCTGGTCTACGCGGCGCGTCGTATAAATACATATATCGCATTTGGATCATCCTCTTGATGGCGAGCGCACGCCCGTTACTTACGCATGTGCGTTTGCGCGCATACGAATTTTAAACTGATCCAAATGGTAAAGTTAAGGTTTATTTTATCACTTTAATGATACGTACATATAACAATTTTAGAATCTGTTAAGTACTTGGGGAATTAATTAGTTTTCGTATCAAGACTTGTATGTTTTAAGGTCTTTATACTCGATGCATGTTGAAGAATGCAAAAACGATTATGAACAAATAAAGTACTAAATAAATAAAAAGAAATAATACATAACGGGCATCAGAAAACATAAAGAAGTAATGAAAATGAGAAATGCAAAGGAATAATATACATGAGACTAATAAAGCAAA